ATAATAATGCCTCATGATGTTATTGCAAGGGTTAGTGGACATTAGGTGAGCTTGGAACAGTGTCTGGTACATAGTAGGTACTCAATTGACGCCTAATATTTCTTTGCTACTTAAGCTATATATAGCCTGCAATCCAAGCAGACTTATCCCAATGATTTTGGCTCATCTGCTCTAGAGGTTATATTCTGAGATGATAGCGTCCTCTCATTTGTCAGGCCTACTTTTCTTTGTTTGCAACCTCAGTAGACATTTCTCTACCATTCTGTACCAGTCAGCCCCTGCTCTGTGCCTTTCCTAGTGCTTGTTAGGACCATGGAGGATACACACAAGAGTAAAATAGAGTTCATGATCTTAAAAAACTTAGAGATGATGATATAGTTAAGTTAGTTCTGTGACTCTGTCAACTGTCTCAGTGCTTACAAGAGTTAAGAGGAGGTAACCTAGGGATCTAATAGAAATGACACAAACAGACACGCACACCTAATGTTCATCACAGCACTATTCACAATAGCAAAAAGTTGGAAATGACCTAAGTGCCCATCAATGGATGAATGGATAAGTAAAATGTGGTACATACATACAATGAAATACTACTCAGCGATAAAGCAAAATGAGTTCCTGAAACATCTTGGAACATTGGTAAACCTGGAGGACATTATGTTCAGTGAAATAAGTCAATCACAAAAGAACAAATATTGTTATGTTCTCATTTTTATGAAATGACATGAACAAGTAAATATACAGAAACTAATGTTCATTAGTGGTCACCAGGGATGGGAGGGTGGGGAGAGGGGGCTTCATTCTCTAGATAGTAGACACTTGTTATTTTTGGTAATGGGAAAGGTAACACCGAATAAGGGTGAAGTGTACACAGCTTGACAAAGGTAAACAACGTGACAAAAATGTACATAAGAAAAAAGGACCTGTTGGTAATTGCTATGGCATATATAATTTTGAAACAACAGCAAAAACAACCAAAAAATATATGTGTGGGTAAATATATATATATATATATATATATATATATATGAAGCCCTAGTGGTGTAGTGGTTAAGAGCTTGGCTGCTAACCAAAAGACTGGCAGTTCAAATCCACCAGCCACTTCTTGGAAACCCTATGGGGCAGTGCTACTCTGTCTATAGGGTCGCTGTGAGTTGGGATCGACTTGACGATAATGAGTTTGGGTTTTGTTTTTATGCATCTATGTGAATGTATGCACATATATATACAAAATAAAGCACAGAGGGGGCACAGTTACAGATACTTCTTAGACATAACCAAACACATTGCAGGATTGGTTTTCTGGGTTTGAAGGATTAGGACCATAGTCTCATGGGACATCTTGTTCAATTGGCATGATATAGTTCATAAAGTTATGTTCTACATCCTAGTTTGGTGAGTAGTGTCTGGGGTCTTAAAAGCTTGCCAGCTGTCATCTAAGATACAACTCTTGGTCTCTACTTGTCTGCAGCAAAAGAGAAAGAAGAAAACCAAAGACTCAAATAAGAAACTAGTCTACAAGACAAATAGTCTACCCTGAGAACAGAATTAGATGGTGCCTGGTTACCACTACCGACCAACTGGCCATTCTAATCAGAACCACAATAAATGAACCTAGATAGAATGGGAGAAAAATGTGGAACAGAACCTCAAATTCCTAAAAAAACACACAAAAACAAACACAGACTTATTGAACTGGCTGAGACTGAAGGACTCCCCGAGACTGTTGCCCTGAGATACTCTTTAAATCTTGAACTGAAACTAACCCCTGAGGTTACTTCGTAGCTAAGTAACAGATTAGCTCAAAACATAATATTATCCGTAAGTACTGTGCTTCTTTAAAAGATCACCTATATGAGACCAAAAAGTCAACAAATACTTTAAAACAAAGATGAGAATGTAAGGGGGCAGGGAAACTAGATTAATGCAAACAGAACAAGAAGAATGAGAATGTTCACGAATTGTGAAGAATGTAACCAATGTCACTGAACAATTCGTGTAGAAATTGTTGAATGGGAACTTAAACTGCTGTGTAAACCTTAACAGAAAACACAATAAAATATTAGTTTAAAAAAAAGAGTTAACAGGAGGAAGACCATCAAAGAATTTATCTAAGAGGCGGTAGGCCTGTGGAAAGTATTTGGACCACTGGTAAAGAGAGGCAGTAAGGTATTCTAGGCAGGAAACCAAATGATCAGACAAGGAAACAGGAGTAATCTTGGAGATAGGTAGTTAAGAAACTACCCTGATAGAAGTGGGGTGTTGGGGAATTGTGATAGAGATTAGTGAAATTCTTATTATATTGTTTTCTAGTACCTACCCCAGAATATACAGAGTCTCTGGGTGGTGTAAATGGTTAAGTGCTGGAATACGAACCAAAAGTTGGTGGTTCAAATCTATCCAGAGGTATCTTGGAAGATAGGCCTGGGGCAATCTGCTTACAAAAGGTCACGGCCTTGAAAACCCTATGGAGCAATTCTACTCTGTACATATGGGGTCGTCATGAGTCGGAATCAACTCATCGACAACTAACAACAACCCCAGAATACATAGTGAAAGAAGGTCTGTCTGGAATTGTGAGATCTTTAATGTAATCTTGGTTCTGCTGCAAATTAGCCAGGTAACCATGTCAAGACATTTATCCTCTCTAGGTCCTGGATGCCTAAGTAGTAAAATTAGTAACTTAGATTAGTTCAGTGGTTTTTAATTGGGGGTGTGTATCAGAATTTACTGGAAGATATTTTGAAATATAGGTGTTTGGATCACACTCAGGAAATTGTTTCAGCAGATCTGAGGTTAGACTCAGGTTTGTAAAATTTGAAAAAGTTCTATAGGTGATCATGATTTACACTCCCAGTGTTATAAGAGCCATCAGATTAGCTGAGAATCACTAGCCCTTGGCTTTCTGAAGTTAAAATAACTTGCATGGTGGATAATCAGCTTCAAACCAGCTAATGGTAATGTTGTATAATGGAAAGAACATGACTTTGGTGTCGGTCTGACCCAGGTTTTGCTTCCCAGCTCTATGGCTCTCAGCATGGCACCTCACTTCTCTGAGATTCGGTTTCCTCATGTTGGGTTGTGAAGATGAGAGAGAACTATCACACTTAGCACTATGCCTGGTACAAAGTACATAGATGCTAAACCAGTGGTTACCATCATCACCATGATTTACCCTTACACATCTGGAGTTAATCATAACTCTAGGCATAAGAATGTTGTAGTATGGAGAAAGGATTTTTGGTTTCCTTTCCTTTCCTGGCTATCAAACAAATACAGACCTTGCTGTTCTATTTGCTTACGTAGTCCCCCTCCTCTTGTATGTCCTAATGTGTGAAATGACTATCTGCTGTTACTAGACACTCTTTCCATAGCTCTAGGAGAAAAGCCTAATGCATGAAAACACCTGTCAGACTCCAGAAAACTACCATTCATTTACAACTTAAATGAAAAAATAGGTCAGTTCAATTTAACAAAATTGTCAGGGTCCATGGGCTCTAGAGCCCAAATCTGGGCTTTGCTTATTCTATCTAGCCATGTGACCTTGGGGATAATAATGTAAAATGGGGATAATGATAATAGTAATGGCCTCATAAGATTGTTGTAAATATTGAATGAGTTAATGCACATAAAGTACTTGGAACATTGCTTAGCACATAGTATGTATAGCCATTATTGTTAATATTACTATGTGCCAGGTCTTATGTTTTATAATTTTCCAAATATACAGCAAAGTTGAAAGGATTTTGCAGTGAAGACCCTATATCCACCACCTGTATTCTGCACTTAACATTTTACTATACTTGCTTTATCTTATATGTATCCATCCATCAATTTATCTTTTTAACATGTATTTCAAAGTAAATTGCAGAGAGTGGATGCCAGGAATACTGATGTAAATAAACAGATGCTTCAGTCTGGTGGAGCCAGTATATGGATAACTTCAGTATGCTTTAAGTGCAGCAACAGAGGCATGCACAGAAGGGCACTTAACAGTCTGCCACCAGGAAGAAGTCTGGTACAATGGAAAGGGTGCATTCTGGAGTCAGATCAACCTGGGTTTGAATCTTGTCTACCACTTGCTCACTATGCCACTTTGGGAACAGTCAGACTCTCTTAGTTTCCCCATTTCTAAAATGGGATGACCTCTGCCCGTTGGAAATACCCGATTTGTGTGCACTGTGATCTAAAGTGTTCCTAAGGTGGGGGAGGAGGGGGAGGACAACAAAGGGCTTTTTAAAAAGAGTCAAACAGACTCAGATTGTAGCTATAAATTATTTTAAACTTTCTGTGTCTGTTTCCACATATAAGTTTTCTTTTCCTTATCTACCTCGCCAAGACTGTTCTGAGGATGAATTAATATAAAGTAAGGAACCCTGGTAGCACAGTGGTTAAGTGCTCGGCTGGTAACGGAAAGGTTGGTGGTTCTCGAAACCACCAGGTTCTCCGTGAGAGAAAGATATGGCAGTCTGCTTCCGTAAAGATTTACAGCCTTGGAAACCCTATAGGGAAGTTCTACTCTGTCCTACAGGGTCACTATGAGTTGGAATCGACTCGAAGGCAATGAGTTTGTTTTTTTGGGGTTTTATGGAGCACATATATATAAGGTACAGAGCATATGGCAGGTGCTTAACAGAAAATAGTAGCTTTATTTCTAACAAAGGCTTCTTCTATTATTGTTTGAAGTAAAAACTTATGTAAGTAATATATACCACGTTAATTTCCGGATTCTAATTTTGAAGACCCTCCAGTCACAATTTTGTAAAAAGAACCAAAGACAGCATTTGAACCAACACACATGTATAATTCTGCCTGCATTTACAGAGATAATCAAGCTCTAGGCTGGGAAAGGCTTTTTTTTAAAAAAGGAAGAATATTCTGTTTTGCCATAATCTTAAATTTCAACAAACTATAAAATTTAGTTACTAACCCTCCTGACTTTTAACCAAAGACAGGTCAGCTTCTGTTGCATGATATGTTCTTCTCTTCTTCCCCCCTAGGTCTTTCAGAGCCTTGAGGACCACCATTTGGAAGTGGTGGGTTTTTTCAGGGAAAATGACTTCCATGGCCTTCTTGCCCGTGACTCCGAGTATGCTCTCTATGATACTCCCTCTTACTACAGTTCCCATGCTCTGAATCTGAGCTGGAACTGGAAGAACCTCACTACCAACCAGTTCCTGATGCAGGAGGTGGCCAAGCAGCTAGCGCTGAAGCAAATGAATTTTCCCATATTTGCTGCGCTGCTAGGTAGGTAGTCCAAGAAGAGACTCTAGTGATTGGTAAAAATTCCTCTTCCAGTGTTAAGAGATGAAAAAACAGGGTGATTTAGCCTATCAGTATTTGATTTGTCTTCTTTTTTTTAAATAGTACTTTATTGTGTTCTTGGTGAAGGTTTACACAGCAGTTTAGGTTCCCATTCAACAATTTCTACACAAATTGTTCAGTGACATTGGTTACATACTTCACAATTCGTGAACATTCTCATCATTTCCATTCTGGTTGTTCTGTTTGCATTAATCTAGGTTCTCTGCCCCCTTACATTCTCATCTTTGTTTTAAAGTAATTGTTGACCATTTGCTCTCATATAGGTGATCTTTTAAAGGAGCACAGTACTTACGGGTCATATTCATTATTTTTTAAGCCAATCTGTTACTTAACGACGAGTTGACCTCAGGGGTTAGTTTTGGTTCAAGATTTAAAGAGTATCTCTGGACAATTGTCTTGGAGAGTCCTTCAGTCTCAACCAGTCCAGTAAGTCTGGGTTTGTTGTTTTTGTTTTTTGTAGGGTTTTGTTTTTATAAATTTGAGGTTCTATTCCACATTTTTCTCCCATTCTATCTGGGTCCATCTATTGTGGTTCTTATTAGAACAGTCAGTCACTAGTGATAGCTGGGCCCCATCTAGTTCTGGTCTCAGAGTAGATGAGACCATGGTTCGTGTAGACTATTTGTTCTGTAAACTAGTTTCTTCTTTGAATCTTTGGTTTCCTTCTTTCTCTTTTGCTCTGGACAGGTAGAGACCAATAGTTGTATCTTAGATGACCACTGACAAGCTTTTTAGGCCCTAGACACTATTCACCAAACTAGGATGTAGAACACAACTTTATGAACCATATTATACCAATTGAACAAGATATCCCACAAGACTATGATCTTTATCCTTCAAACCCAGAAAACTAATCCTGCAAGGTGTTTGGTTATAGCTAAGAAGTATCCGTAACTCTGCCCCCTATGTGCTTTATTATATATATGAATATATGTGTATATAGTCACATAGATGTATATACATATAAATATGTATACAGCTATATATACACACATATACATCAAATCCACTGCCTTCGGATCGATTCCAACTCACAGCAGCCTTATAGGACAGAGTAGAATTACCCCATAGAATTTCCAACGCTGAAGATCTTTACGGAAGCAGACTGCCATATCTTCCTCTTGCGGAGTGGCTGGTGGGTTCCAACCGTCAACTTTTTGATTAGCAGCTGAGCACTTTAACCACTGTGCCACCAGGGTTCCTTACACATATACATAGCTATACACATATATGCCTACATACATATCTACCTGCACATATATCTTTTGGTTGTTGTTTCAATATTATATATGCCATAACAATTACTAACAGGTCCTTTGTTCTTATGTATACTTTAGTGACATCATTTACCTTCGTCAAGCTGTCTATACTTCACCCTCATTTGGTGTTACCCCTCCCATCACCAAAAATAACAAGTGTCTAATATCTAGAGGATGAATCCCCCTCTCTCTGCCCCCCATCCCTGGTAACCACTAATGAAAATGTTTCTGTGTATTTACCTGTTCATATCATTTCTTAAAAATGAGAACATACAATTTTTTTGTGTGATTGTCTTATTTTGGTCAACACAATGTCCTCCAGGTTCGTCAATGTTCCAAGATGCTTCAGGAACACATTTTCCTTTATCGCTGAGTAGTATTTCATTGTATGTATGTACCACATTTTACTTATCCATTCATCCATTGATGGACACTTAGGTTGTTTCCATCTTTTTGCTATTGTGAATAGTGCTGCGATGAACATAGGTGTGCATATGTATGTTCCTGTCACTTCTATTAGATCCCTAGGGTGTATACCTAGAAGTGGAATTGCTGGTTCGTATGGCAACTGTACCTCTAGTTTTTTGAGGAACTGCCTCTTTTCCACAACGGCTGTGTTGCCAAACCCAGGAAGGTGGGTTTTGTCCGGCATGCTCAGACCTGCCAATAATCTGGACACTGGCCTTTGAGAAAGAGAAAGAGAAATAACTTTATTGCAATGCGCAGAGCAAGGAGCTGGGAGGAAGTTCCTCAAATCCAACTCCCCAAGCTGTAAGGAAGCAGAGCTTATATATGATTTGGGCAGCAAGATGGCAGCTGTGCAGGCATATTATTGTTTTTAGGTGCCGTCAAGTCGGTTCCAACTCATAGCGATCCTATGCACCACAGAATGAAACACTGCCCGGTCCTGCGCCATGCTCACAATCATTGTTATGCTTGAGCCCATTGTTGCAGCCACTGTGTCAATCCATCTCGTTGAGGGTCTTTCTCTTTTTCACTGACCCTCTACTTTACCAAGCATGATTTCCTTCTCCAGGGACTGATCCCTCATGACAACATGTCCAAAGTATGTAAGATGCACTCTCGCCATCCTTCCTTCTAAGGAGCATTCTGGTTGTACTTCTTCCAGAGAGCAGGTGTACTGGGGAGGGAAAATTCTAGAAGGAAGATGTTGCAGGAATTATATTGGCCAGGAAACAGGAGGTGATGAGGTTCTTTTCAGACCTCTCACTTCAGAATGGGATCTGGGTGATGATTTTCCTAATGATTCATTCCACCTGTTGCTGCCTCTGCTGTTGAAGTCACTTAATGGTCACAGCTGGCCCTTCTGTGCATGCGGGGCAGGCCAAATCTGGCTTAAGGACTAATAGAAATTTACTGGCATTTGTAGGGTCAGGTTACAGTCCCCCCTTGAGTTGTAGCAATTCTTTAATCTTAAGGGATAAGGGTCAGGGTCGGTAACTCATCTGGCTACTTCCTGCTGACATGGGGTGAAGTTTTAGGGGCCTAGGTTGAATTTTAACAGGCAAGGAATGATTAGCTCCTGGGGGTAGCAGGCAAAGAAGACTTGGGAGGTAGAAAACGAGAACTATCATAGTGAAAATAACTACTAGCAAAAGAAGGCACGTATGGGTTATTTATCTGTAGGTTGAGGCGGTTTCTTAAAGAGTAGTCTTAAGTCTTCTAGTGGCTAGCATTCCCGCTCTGGTTCAGGGGGTTGGCTGTCTTTGTAGTCTCATGAATAGTCTGCACTTTGGTGACCCGTGCCTGTAGGGGAAGCCTTTAAAGGTGCATCTGGATCTGTGGGCTTGTATTTCACCTTGGTGTACTGGATTCAAGGCTTGACTCCAGCTACCTTCACCGAGGAGTGGGTGACTAGAAGAACTTCATAAGGACTGGTCCACTTGGGTTGGAGCTGGCTGCAAGGATGACGGTCGTTCCACTTCTTTATGAGATGAAGAGGGGTACCTGTGGGAAAGAGCATATGACTACAAGCATAATGGTTAATAGCTTTCAGAGTTACATACAGGGACCTAAGATACCTGGAAACACTAAGTTCCTGGACTGCTTGAGGATCATCTGAAGCACTACATCCCCAGGCTGCCTTAAGGAAAGGTCTCCCATACAGCATTTCATAGGGGCTTAATTGGAGCCTGCTTCTAGGGGCCACTCAGACTCTTAACAGGGCAATGTGTAGCAGTTTGATCCAGGGTAGTTTAGTCTCTTGCCAGAACTTAGCTAATGTCTTCTTTAAGGTGTGCTTCATCTTCGGTTTTTCTAGCTGACTGTGGTCTCCAGGGAGCATGTAGCTTTCACCGAATTCCTAAATGTCCTGAGAACTCTTGGGTGACTTTGGATACAAAGGCTCCTCCGTTATCACTTTGAATTGCCAAATTCAGGAATAATTTCATTGAGGAGAGATTTGCTTACCTTGGATGCCTTTTCTGTTCGGCAGGGGAAGGCTTTTACCCATCCAGTAAAGATATCTACAAACACTAAGTTGATTAGGCCCCTCAATCAGTTTGGCTCGCCAGTGAAACATAGCATCCCGACCATAATGTGTGCTCTCATGAGCTGCCTTTATTATCAGTGCATCAGGTGTTCTGGTATTAACACCTGTCCTTGGGAACTGTACAACTACCCGTCTTCTACTCTGTTATTAAGGTAGCAGACAAATGGCAGGGGTTTTGTTCTAGTGGCTTGTTTGGCTGCCTGATCCTTTAATTATGTGAGACTTTCCCTTCTGGTGCACGGGGCAGTGTATAACTGCCACCTCTGTTGACCATAGTACATTAGGCTTTCTTTTCTCCAGTCCCACCAGCCGAGATGTTCTTTGCTGGCACGGGCCTGCCAGGGTTTGGGGTGCACCCGTGTCCACTAAAAAATTCAGTAAGTTGTCCACCCACAGTCATTGTAACCTAGGGGCCCTCATGGGAGATGGGGATTGGCTGAGTGGGCTGCAGGGGAGCCCCTGGGCCCCATCAGTCCAAGTCATTGGCTGACAGCTGTGCGGGAGCTGTGTTATGGGTTTCTTCTTGGGCTCTTGCTCGCACTGGGTTGGCCGCGAGCGGCGCTCCCATTTCCAGTGTCCCTCTTGTTTGCAGTAAGTACACTGTCTGGAGCCTAGCTTTAGGGGGCCTTGGGTTGGCCACCGGCCCTTTTGGGGCCCACGAGGACTTACCCTGCATGAGGTCTGCCTGGGTGGTGGGTTACCTCTAAGAGCTGCTGCCAGGAGTGTGGCCTGTTTCATTTTTTGATTTTCCTTTTTTTCTTGTACCTAGTCCTGATTATTAAGACCTTAAAGACAATCTCAACAAGTTGTGAAGTATTCATTCCTAGACCTCCTTCTAACTTTTGAAGTTTCCGCTGATGTCGGGGGTGCCCTGGCTGATGAAAGTCATATTGATTAACCTAGCATTCTCTAGGTCTTCAGGGTTTAAATCAATATGCTTCGTACACCAGTTCTAGGAAGCTGGAGGGATTTTCCTTGGGGCCTTGTTGTACATCCTGAACTTTCCTAAGGCTCTTCTGTTTTGGGGTCCCCTGCTATAAACCAATTATCAAACAGTTTTTATAGTATTCTAGCTGTCCTGTCCCCAGCCAATCATTTGGGTCCCAGTGTGGATCTACGGCAGGTACAGCTTGGGCTGCTGGGAGTCTTAA